AAAAAAATAAATAAATAAAGAGTTTGCTTCTAACTGTGGTATGGATCTTGGATTTAATTTGATATTTATAGTGAAGGAGAAAAATTGTATTTCCTAATGTAGGAAATTTCTGATCAACATTCTTGAACTTGGTGCTAATTAAGCTTCTAAGAACTACTTACCATGCTGTTTTACCCTTCTTAATCATAAACATGAAAACCTCTGCTAGCTTTCACTTGGAGTCCCTGGTTTTAACTTGAAATGGCTTAAAGTGGAAATTTTGTTAGCTTTTTGTATGTTTTGGATTTTGTGTGTGTTCTGTTTTTAACTCTCGACTTGAGTTTTAAGATCATTCATCAAAGGCTTTTCTTTCAAGTCAGTTGCACTGATCTCAGTTGCAGGACTTAGAGGGCCATCCTTTCCCTCATGCTATTAAAAAAATTAAGTGTAGAAACAGACTATTTTAGGAATCTGAGCTCCAATGGTCTTTTCAGCACACACATCAACATTTTGAAATGAACCAATAAATTAGATATAAGAAAGTCAGGAAATGTTCTGCCACCGTCTCCCTGTCTCTGCCTCCTTCACTCTTTTTTCTTGGACAAAGGTAAATTATCAATTGCTATACCAGCTTTCAATAAGCTACAAAGGGGCTGCTTCTGGCTTTACATATTTTAAAATGCATTCATTTATTCAAGCTATCTCTTTCCTTCATTTAAAATGTTTTCCTGCACACATTTTCTTTTTCCTTTTGAACTATTGAGAACCTGCCTCATCTCCCAACATTCTGTAACCCCAATGGGCATTGTAATCAGCCTGCGCTTTTGTCTTTCAGATGGCATTTATTTGTGGGGTGTGTATGTTAGTGCATGACAGTCAGTTGTTTTCATCTGCCAATACAAGTAATTTCTGTTATGGCTTTCAATGAAGCAGTGAAAACAAAGTATTTGACATCTGAACTGGTGATGGTTGTAGGGTCTCTTACATACCCCCAGCCAGCATCCCGAATTCAGGGTGAATTAATTGGTTGAGCCTTTGCATGCTGAACCAGTTAACTGTGTTGAATTTCCAAGATTTGCTTCCAGATAGGATTCTATGACGGATAGCATATGAATGTAAAACTTTACCAGGATTTCAAGAAAATGGCTCATTTTCAGCAGAACATCACCTACTTTCTGCAGATTGGAGTAAGTTCCCTTGATAGGTCTTCTGAATGGATAAGAATTCAAATTGGGTGAACAGAATCCAAAGAAGACCCTGGATGAATCTTGAGTTCACTTCTGATTTTCATTTGCAAGTGAATGCAGTGTTGGGTGTGTTGCTTTCACATTTTTGCTTCCTATTCTGAGGCTTGGATATCTCCTGGTGGGCAGAGTTTTGTAGATGTTGTTTTTCCACGATGCTGTGATGCTGTGTGAACTGCTGTTGAATCTGTGCAGAACTGAAAGGTCTGTGCCATGGCCTGCCCCTCATGCCTCCCCCCTGCCTCCTCTGTTCTTATTTCTTCCCACATGAAGTATCATATATTTTGTTAGAAAGAAAAGCCCTTTTGGAAATTGCCTGTTTCATAAATTGTCTGGTGACACAAAGGGGTTGAATGCTATATTCTTGTCTCATTTATTTTGAAAACTTTGCTACTGAACTCACCTTAATCAATGAGCCCAGTGTTGTCTCCTATAAGTTATGTGTTGGATATATTGATTGGGAGGGATTTTAGAAAACCCGTCTGGGGTTTATAATGTCAGCAGTGTTTTGATTATGAAAAGAGTTGGAACCTGGGGACATGGAACCAGGTGGCAAATGTCCTAAAGCCAGTGGTGACACGGTGGACTGGTCCCCCCTGGGATCCAGTTCATGCCCTGCACTTTAACTGTGGTGGCTGGCTACTATAGATTCACTTTTTTTTGCTCATTAAAATGTTAAAAAATCAAACTGTACATAAAAAGATTTGTGAAAATATAAACTTGGGAATTGATCTAGAGAGCTGGCACGATCTTCCCCACCCCCTGCCTTAGCAATGAGGTCATTTACATTTCATCAGCTGTACTGCATCTCAAAGATCCGATTTATGTGGCAGTAGTTGAGGTTGTACTGAGGCTGGTTGTCTGAAAAAGCTGGTGTAGCCAAGAGAAAGGGGGGAGAAAGCAGGAAAATTACCATCTACAAAGAAAGTTCCCAAGCCAAAGACAGGTTCTAGAAAGAGAAAGGGGCTGGTGACGGGCTGGTGACTATTTTCTCAGTAAAATTATTATTGCAAGACACTCTCTTACAAGTACAATGCTCAAAATATGTTTAAATCAGGGGTTTAAAATCCCCACTCTTGGAGAATGGTACCTTTTATATTCCAATATTTGTGGAGTTTTGTTGAAAAAGAGGATACGGTATTTAAAAGTTTATCTATAGGGATAACAGTGGTATTAAGACAATTGGTTTATTTCAGCAATTTTATTTGCAAGAAACCTGGCTTGTTTTTCCCTCCCTCTTCCTATCCTTCCCTTCCCAAAATAAGAAGTAGATTTTTTTTTTTCAGTTTTGATTGAGATAATGTGTGAATATGCCTAACACAGGGTAGATGCTCATTTTGGTTTTCTCCTCTGACAGCACACCACTGTCTTGTTTGACTTAAATTGGAATATCAAGCTCTTGTAATATCACAAACATGAAGAAACATATTGTGGTGCACAAACATTTGCCTATATTCCCTTCTCTTCTCCCCTCCCCCTACCCCCTTGCTTAATTAGACTTATCACTGCTTTCTTGGGTAAAAAGGAAAGCTCTTGGGAGGTGGGTTATACTCAGCCTACATTGGGTATTTTGATATTTGTTCTAATATTATCTGACAGACAAGTTCACGGTTGGTTATTACTCTTGACATTAGAAAGTGGTAAGTAGTTTCTATATATTGTCGGGAGTAATAAGTTGGGCAGATTAGATCTCTTTGACTCCGCTGTAGAGCACAATGCTTTTTTGTAGCCATGGGGGTCCTTTCTTTCAAAAATCTTGAGGTCTTTTGGCAGCTCAACTCCAGCATAGAGAAGAGAAGTGTTTCTGCACCTGTAACTTTTGAGGGGCAGAGGAGAACCGTCTTTGTAACTGATGTTGGCATTGAGTGAGCACTGGGTACTGAGTTGTAAAGAATGCTCAGTGCATGGACTGTGAAGTCAAAGGGATGCTTTGTGGTGTTTAAACTTGAAGTGAACAGGAACTTGTAAGGTATTTTATTGGGGTGTGTAACTCGTAAGAGTGGGTTGCAGTATTTTTTATTTAAAACTGCAGACATTAGCATGACTGCTTTAGGTGATCTCTTTTTCACTAGTTGTCTGATAATAATACTGCACTGAGAAATGGCCATGGCTTTTCTGACTCTGTCTTCGCCATTGCCATTTATTTAAGCATAATGAGTTTTAAAGCCAGAAATAAGGACTTCTGAATGCCACAGTATGGCATTAACTAATATTTCCAGGAGGCCTCTTAGAATGTGTTGGGGTATTCTTTCCCACTCTTTTTCATTTTTCAGTTTCCTTGTCATTTACTACTTCACATGCCTTAACAGTGCCGTGATATACACAGGACCAGTCCAAAATGATATTAAAAAATAGGATATGCTCAATTGAATCATGTAGGCGGAACATGCTCTGGCAGGGCAAGTCCGTGTGCTTTCTGCTTCATTGAGTGGGTTATTAGATTGATGTGGTTTATTTCTTGAATGATAGAACTGGTTTGAAAAATAAATGAAGCGAGAAGCATCAATTCAGTTAGCATTGATAATTCATTATTATTGGTTAGAAAAGTGCTACATTTGTAAACTGATCTTTAATTTATCACTTGGATTAGGATTTGCAATGGGTAGGTTGTTTTAATTTGAACCAGCTTCTCAATGACTGAAAAATGTGTTCTTCATTTTGTCTTGAAGTTGGGATTTTTAATAGTTAAAAAAGCAAATCAAATACATGAAAGGAATTTTTTTTAAGATTTATAACATTGGTCTATGAACTTAATATAAGCACCAACTGTGGACTGTCCACAGTCTTCAGTTCAATTAACTCAAGTTAGAGAAAAATTCTGTGAAGGAAGTAATAATTATCTGTATATGTTTTTAGCTATGTGTGCATAGGCTGTGAACGTGAAATGTGTCTGTTGGGAAAACACACACCACTGAATATATTGTGCCTCCTCGGGTAGTATTCTTAATGTGAGAAGCTTCTCTTTTATGAATGTTTTTGAAATGGCACTCTACTTTTTGTATCTTTTGTACTCCTGCCTCCCCCCTGAGTTATGTCCTTGGTTTTATGTACCTACATATTTATTAAAGACATTTAAGCTGGTCGTTTGCTTTGGATTTTCATAAATTATAAGCAGGTAAGTGTGTCCAATTATGATAATGACATTTAACTAAAAATAGCACATCCTTAAAATTGTTAAGGTTTGGTAACAAAATAAATTTATGCCAAACATGGCAACTTCCTTATGAAGTAAGTAAACGAAGTTTTAAACTCTGAAAATGCAGTTGACAATGTTCAGGGACAATTATCTTCCAGTTGGCTTTCTATTCTGCTTGCGATTTGGCCTATTGATGTCGGGAAGCGTTGTCTAATCCCGGCCCCCTCTGTTCCTAGGTAACAGGCGAGCACGGTGCCAGCAACAGCGGCCCTGCCAGGCCAAACCCATGTGGCTCGGTGTTATTCACTCTGATCCATATGGTCAGGCTGGAGATGGTCCCTGGAGGGGTGTTAACACTCAGCAACCCAACCGCCCCCCTCCCTTCAGAGCCTTCCTGCATGGCTCCTGCTGCTTGCCCATGTGTGATTCTTGATTAATTTTTCATTTTTAATGAAGTTTGATCATGTTTATTATTTCTCATGATTGACTGCCTGGTACTCCTCCCATGTAATTGATAAAGCCCATATTTCTTCATCTGTCTCCTCTTTCTTTAGGGTAAAGTTGCTAGATTGTGTGCCGTGCTTAATGTCAGATTTATTGGCCCCATTAGATGTATAAATTATCTCTCTTTCTCTCCACAGGAAGTTCTACAGACTTTGACCAAGTTTTGTTTCCCCTTCTATGTGGACAGGTAGTGTCAGATTTTTAAACTTTACTAGAAAAAAAAGTGTCAATAAACCTGCTATGGAAAATAAAAACCATACCATTCTTAACATTCTGTCTGTTTAACCATGATTGAAAACACCTATGCGCCAAGGCGAGTAGCCGGTTCTCCCTTCCTGGGGTTTTTATTTGACACCACCACTGTGCTTAAAGCTTACGCTGCTGCGTTGCTCAGTCTGTGAGATGCACTTTGCATGACATTACATTTTTGACTTTGGTTATCAGACTCAAACCATGATTAAGAATGGTTGGTGTTTATCTGGTACTGTTGAATTTTCATGAAAATATGAATATATTTGACTTAACCAAGTAATATCATGTGACTCCATCGCCTTGTGAGTATGATGGAGACTTTGCTTTTCCTGCACCAAAACTTAAAATTTAAATGGCATAGGCTATCTTGTTCAAAGATTTGCAGCTATTTAAAAAGCACGCTGCTGAGTAGAGTCTTGTGTTTTGTTTAGGTGACTATGAATGGTATCTCTGGGGGAAAAGCATTTTTGATAAATTTTCAGACTAAGAAAACAAAATCACCTAAACACCTCCTAAATAATTCCGTTTTGATAAACTGTCTCCTGGAAAGATTAAACATTATATGAACTCTAAAATAACTCTAATAATCTGAGAGTTAAACATTTTAAGAGCCTCTGGTTAATGGTAACAATTTTAGAAAAGGTGTTTTTTTTACTTTATAAAACTATAAATTACTAGCACTCTTAAAGCAATGAGGAAACAATCATCTTCATCTTACTTTTAAGCAATGTCTACCATGATTATTGTTCATTACATTTGAAGCATTATTTTTGCAGTAACATATTGGTCCATTTGAATGTTGTCTCTTTTTAATTTTAATGGAGAATTAAGCTATCAGACTGTACATACATTCTATGTTAAAAATGCCAATTTTAGTGGCAGAGGTTTTAGAAAATGTCAGTCTAAGTAGTAAGTGCCATAAATGTTCCAAGAAAGCTATCAAATGTGTGCCCATTTTCTGGAAGATCCTATCATAGTATTTTAGTGTCCCAATCCCGACAGGCCTGAAAGGGTTTTTGTGTTTTTAGATCATGTGGGGAAGAGGATGTTTGGGTCTTTTCGACACTTGATAGTAGCAGTGTCGTTCTTTATTGGTCATTAATGTAAAAATGGTGTGAACTGGGCCTCCCCTGTTGGCGCAGCGGTTGAGCCCTGGGCTGCGAGGTTGCCCACAGCCTCTGCAGTGCCGGTTCATTCCCCGGCCACCAGCGAGGGTCCCACCAAAAAAATAAATAAATAAATAAATAAATAAATAAAAAGGTGTGACCTGAGAATTGGTAGTCAAAGGAGTTTTTTTAAAAGTGTTCTCAAAAGCAAAAAGAGTACTAAGAAGCAAAGCAGCTTTGGAATATTGCCCAGCCCCTTATTATCACTGTTTCCCCTGGTTCTAACATGTTATTTTTAAAAGCCCATCAACCATTATAGTATTTCCAGACTTGGACCCCTTACCATCCAGGTACCAGAGATTTTCAGTTGTGGGTTGGTGCTTAAAACAGAATAGCCTTAATTTTGAGAGGGTCCATCCTTGTAATAAGAGGCCTCTTGTCTCTTCTTTATCCTATTCTAAAAATAGCATGCAAGGGAATAGGGTTTTATTTAGATATTTAATGCAAACTTCACATGTATATGTATGAATTAGCAATGCGTGAAATCTCCTCCAGTCACTTATAAAATGTATTGCAAATTATGGCAAGGGCGTATTTATACAAATTAATAAAGCTGAAATGTTTTAGAAATGTGATTAGGTGTTTAACAAGGAAGAATAAGAAAATGTATTTTCACATGACTTCTTGTTAGAGTGGTGATCTATTTGGGAGAGTTATTCCTTAGTGAACTTTGTAAACTAATATTAGAAGAAATGTACAGTCTCCCTCCCCCCAACATACACACCCCTCTTTTTCATTTTACTCCAACACATAAACCTACACTCACCTACATGGACGATTATAATCTGAAATGAAAGAAAAGCAGAATCGTTATGCTATAGTTCTAAAGTCTTTTCTTCACTAATAATGTTAATTTCTTTTTGGTTAGAATAATATAGTTCTTTCAAAATAACCAATTTCTAAACTACCCTCTTCTAATCACATTCTTCATATTTTTTCACAAAATGATTTGGGGCTAAAATGTCCCTTTATGGGTAGACTTTAATCCCTGCTGTGTGCAATGGTTCTTTCTCATGTGGTCTTATATTATTCACCCTAAAAGTGTTGATAACTTCAAATTGATGCAAACTAAGTGGGTTACTTTAGTTTGGATACTGTGCTTTTTTCTTTTCTGCTTCCCCACTCCTATCCTTGACATACTTTAATGCAGAAGGCATAATAATAAGTCATTTACAATAAATACAGAGGGTTTAATGTCACCAGTTTTATGTTAGTTAGGAGAAGCCCTGTCAAATGGCTATGCCCAGATTCTGAGGCCCACAAAGCCCCCCAGATGTGTTTATGGCATTGCTTACACTTAGAAAATGTGTCAGCATGAGAGATGAGTATTGCCCCAGGTGAATGTGTCCCCCAAAGAAAGCTTCCTTATCTTTTTTGGTATCTCTGCTTTTCTACCCCCAAGGAACAGTAATACAACTTTCTGACATGTCTAGTCTGTATCAAGAGTGGGATTTCCACCGCCATCATCAAATCACCTGCTAACATTGACATCTTGCTGTCTCTTGTGTTGTTTTAAGATTTTTCTTTCAGAAACCAGGACTTATGAAAGATAATAATGCCAGAAGCTTTTCAAAGGAAAGTGCTTCCTCTTGTATTATCTCATTTTATCCTCCTGTCACAAGAAATGAGAATCAGCACTGTTACCGTCACTTGAAAAACATCTAAGCAGCAGCGACATTGTGACTTGCCCAACGTCCTCTTGGGCTGCTGGCACAACCTTTGGGTCCATCTCCCAAGTGAATACCTTTCCCAGTAGCTCACCCTGTGGGAAGACCAGTCACTAAACAGAGCGCAAGGGAGGACATTAATATTTGACTTCCTGCTTGATTCTAGCCAGTGTGCTGTCCACCTTCACGTTAATACCTCATTTATTCCCAGCAACTGGGTGATAGGTGACGGTGGTGTCTCTTTTACAAAAGAGCAAGCGAAGTTTCAGAATATGTATCATTGTTGGGTGATAACGGCAATCAGACTTGGAGCTCTGCCTTTGCTGTGTTTCTCAGTCTGCTGCAGGAAGACACATGAAGCCATATGTATCCAAAAGGACTGAGTGAGGTTAGCGAAGACTGAAAGGCCCAGAAAACTCCTTACGGTGGGTGAGATTTATGTTTAGTCTGCAAGGACAGCCGGAAGTAGATATGTGGAAGGGGGAGCCTAGAAGCCATCTGTCCTGAGGCGCAAAGCAGAGGAGAGACCTCAAGCGAGCCTCAAGATTGTTCAGGCAGAGCAGATGGAGCTGCTGGGGAGAGGGAGATGTGTGCTGTCAGGGTGTGGGCTCCAGCTATGAGAGGCTTTGGAGATGTGTGAGAATAAGACCACTGGCTTTGGGCCTCCCCGGTGGCGCAGCATTTGAGCGCTGGGTTGAGAAGCTACCCGCAGCCTCTGCAGCGCTGGTTCAATCCCTGGCCACCGGGTGAGGGTCCCACATGTTGCGCAGACCTCTCCTGCCGCCCTCTGCTCCCCTCAGCAGTGTGCTTATCAGTCTGCCTGTTCTGCTCTCCGCTCTAGCTCTGGTGAATTCTCTCACCCTCCTGTGCTTCTGACTGTACCCAGTGCTTGCATAAATAAATAAATAAATATTAGAAGAAGAAAAAAAAAAGACCACTGGCTTTAAAAATGAAATTCTTGATTCAAACCTTCCATTTTATAAAAGGAAACCAAGAGCCGTAGAGATGAAATGACTTGTTTATGGTCACACCTATGTAATTATAGAGCTGGGGAAGAAACAGATATCTTAAACCCAATCTAGAGTTTCTGCTCCCTTTACTGCACTTGAACTAGCTCATGGGAGAGAGGAATAGTGAAATCACAGTGCTGGGATCACTCTCAAAAAACTTCGCATTGTTATTGATGAAAGCAGTCTCTTTGAGGAAATAGAAAAGTTTTGTTCCATTTCATATTGTGTTCCTTGCTTGCGCTCCACAGTTGGCAGCCTACTTGAGTTGGTCAAAGCACTAACTGAACCATCTGAAGAGGCTTAATGAGATAATGCCCAATCCATTCCTTTCCATGTCTGTGCTTCCTCTTCTAGAACCCAGAAAGTCAGCTCCCATGTTGTTACCCTATACATTGCATTTGGGAGCACCCACATGACATGGGCGTGAAATGAAGTGACAGTCTTTTCAGTGGCAGAGGCGTAGTCGAATGACTTAGAATGCAGCCCAGATACACGTGTGGTCAAGTGCTATCTGCTGTTGTACTGTCTCTGTTAGGTGCTATATTCTTTTCCTGTGCTAGAAAGGTACACATTGGTAAGGTTATCATTTTCATAATGTCCGCTATTAGCAAGTGGTAGAGCTGCCTTTGGAAGCCAAATTAGTCTGGCCGCCGGTCCCACGGCACATTGCCTCCTGAAGCATACTGCCTCCACGAGAGCCCTCACAGCGTAATGTAGCCAAACATTTAAACATTTATTTCAGAAATAATAAAAATGTATTGTCAAAAAATAGAAGTTCAGATAACTGAAGAATTCAAAGCCCACATACATATAATGTGTGCTTTAGTGTCTGCCTGCCCAGACCTCTCCTCTGTGCATCTCCTCTGCACCCCTCGTCTCTACTTTTCAAAATTGAATCACTTTCAGGGCCTCCCCAGTGGCGCAGCAGTTGAGCGCTGGGTTGTGAAGCTGCCCGCAGCCTCTGCAGCACCGGTTGGTTCCCCGGCCACCTAGCGAGGGTCCCACATGGCGCGCAGACCTCTCCTGCCATGCCTACTGCGCCCCTCAGCAGTGTACTTCGTCAGTCTGCCTGTTCTGTTCTCGGCTCTGGCT